GGCAGAGTTTGATTTTAAAGGGGAAATAAGGCTTGTAAACTACTGGCTCTAGGCAGTTTGCCAGATAGGGAAGTTTGCTAAGAAAGCTAGAGGAGGCTTTGCAGTAAAATAAGCTACAAATTGATTATTTGCTTCCGCTGAAAAATAAAATTTTGTTTGAATTTAGGAGGGAATAGCTTTTCAAATGCAAGTAAATAACAAAGTTGTGAGCATGGTCAAACCAAACAGTCATTTGAAAATCAAAGGAATTTTGATTCAAACAAACACTGTTTATGCACTTTTCTAACCTAATTTATTAGCTGCTAGTTTAGATATGTCGGATATTAGAAAATTTTGATGTACAGCTTTTTTCCTCATTATTTGCTAATTATAGAGGGACATCTGGCTAAGTTGCTTTTTTCTTCCTCACTTGAAAATTTCTCCTCTTCCTGCAAGCTAGCTCAGATGATAGCAAAAAGAATTCTTTGCACCTCCTCATTCCACACTGGAGCTGACTGAATGTTGAAAAAATAGTGTTTGCGAACATTTGACAACCAATCCCATACCAATCAAATAAGTAAACAGTTTCTGAATAACTGAGACTAAAAATTGTTCATTCAAACTATTTGCAATAACTTTTGAATAGCAAATACATTAGTAGAAATCAGGATCACTTCATGAACAAATCACAAACTGAAATGGCCACATGTTTTGTGCAAATTAATTATCTGATGAATTTAGCCCATTAGTCTAACAGTAATTGAGTACATTAGAATTTTTTTTGTTGAATATATTATTGCTCTAAACAAATCTAATGAGCTAAATGAGCACAGTGAAATGACATGCATAGAACATAGACTACAAAATATAAAACCAGATGGGATGAACTTTATTTATTTATTTAAATATTGGGTAACATTTTCAAAAGCACCTAATTTCTTGGGATGTAGGAACTTGGGTTTCAAAGAGATTTTGATGTTTTTTTAATGAGATTTAGGCTTGTAAGTGATGTAAGTACTTTTGAAAATTTTACCCATTATGTGTAATGTAATACACATTAACTCGTGTCACAAAGCAGGCAATTTTTTTTTTGCACCCACCATGCAGTCATGCCCAATTTCCTGATATGTTTTCCCAACCAGTCATTTCTGTGCAACTATCTGTGCTTTTAAACAACCACAGTCAGTGATTGTAACAAGACAGCAGAATAGGTGATGCAGACTGGACGGCAATTTTTTTTGCCATTGTCTGTTGGATAGATAATTTTGTTTCAATTTGGTGCATATCCTACATACACACACAGAGTACTTGATACTCCACCATAGTTCTGAAGAAACAATTGAATTCCTTCAAGGAAGTGTCTCCTTCCACTGCATTGCAAAAGCTACAGGTACCAAAATACACACAAAATAACTTTAAAATACCTAAAACATACTGTACAAATACAATATGTATTTCCCAATAGACTAAATGCAGTTGTTGCAATTAGGTCAGCAGTCGCTGCACACTGTTATTTGAGATTGCCACAGTTTTCCCCTTATACAGGGACTCTTAGACTTTAAGACCAGAAGGGACCATCATGGTCATCTAGTCTGACCTGCACATCACAGGCCACAGACCTACTCCTGTAATGGGCCCATAAACTCTGGCTGAGTTACTGAAGTCCTATCTTGATTTAAAGACTTTAGCTAACAGAGAATCCATTATTTACTTGAGCTCAAGCCAGCAAGTGACCCATGCCCAATGCTGCCGAGGAAACCAGGGTTTCTGTCAATCTGTCAATCTGACCGGGGAAAATTTCCTTCCTGATGCCAAATATGGTGATCAGTTAGACTCAGAGCATATGGGTGAGACACACCAGCCAGATACCTCCCAGTCTAGTGTCCCATTTCTGGCCACTGGAGATATTTGCTAGTAGCAGTCAGGGATGGGTCATACGCCGTTTGCAGGCAATCTCATCATACTATCCCCTCCATAAACTTATCAAGCTGAGTCTTATAACAAGTTAGAGTTTTTGCCCCACTACTTCCCTTGGAAGGCTGTTCCAAAACTTCACTTCTCTGATGGATAGAAATCTTTGTCTAGTTTCAATCCTAGACTTACTGATGGCCAGTTTATAGCCATTTGTTCTTCTGCCAACATCAGCCCCTAACTTAAAGAACTTAAAGACAAAGCCCTGTCTGGGATGATTTAGTTGGGGTTGGTCCTGCTTTGAGCAGGGGGTTGGACTAGGTGACCTCCTGAGGTCTCTTCCAACCCTCTTATATGATTCTATGAACTCCTGTCTTTCCCTGGTGTTTATCCCTCTGATGTATTTACAGAGAGCAATCATATCTCCCCTCAGCCTTCATTCTGTTAGGCTAAACAAGCCAAGCTCCTTAAGTCTCCTCTTGTAAGGTATGTTCTCCATTCCTCTGATCATCCTAATAGCCCCTCTCTGCACCTATTCAAGTTTGAATTTTATCTTCCTTAAACATGGGAGACCATAACTGCACACAGTATTCCTGATGAGGTCTCACCAGCACCTTGCATAATGGTAATAATACTTCCTGTCTCTACTGGAAATACCTCACCTGATGCACCCTAGGATTGCATTAGTCTTTTTCATGGCTGCATCACACTGGCAGATTATAGTCATCCTGTGACTGTCCAATACACTCAGATCTTTTTCCTCCTCTATTGCTTCCAACTAGCATATCCCCAGTTTATAGAAAAATATCTTGTTGTTAGTTCTTAAGAGGATGACTTTGCATTATTAAATTTCATCCCATTTCTATTACTTCAGTTTTCAATGTTATCCAAATCTTCTTGTGTGATACCTCCTGTGTGCCATCCACAAATTTTACTAGTATAGTCTCACTTTTTGTGCCAAGATCATTAATGAAAAAGTTAAATAAGATTGGTCCCAAGATCAATCCTTGAGGAACTCCACCAGTAACCTCCGTCCAGTCTGACAGTTCACCTTTTAGCATGACCACCCCAAACTCCCCTGCCCTCTATCCAACGCCCTCTGCTCCCTGCCCACTTACCGCGCTGCCTGGAGCACCGGTGGCTGGTGGCACTACAGCCACACTTACCGGCTGGAGCCGGGCCATGCTGCCGCTGCCACCGCCACCACCACCATGCAGCACAGAGCACTGGGTCAGGCTGGGCTCTGCAGCTGTGCTGCACCACGAGCTCAGAGCCTCGCCACCCAGAGCATTGCGCCGGCGGTGGAGCGAGCGAGCTGAGGCTGTGGGGGAGAGGAGACAGCAGGGGAGGGGCCGGAGGCTAGCCTCCCAGGCCAGGAGCTCGGGAGTCGGGCAGGACAGTCCCACGGGCCAGATGTGGCCTGCGGGCCATAGTTTGCCCACCCCGAACTAACTACTTAGTGGTCCCCCTTCTTCTTTCCTTGTTTTCTTTTAACTTATATGACTAAAGAATCTTTTATTATTGGTTTTAATTTCCTTTTGCAAGGTTCAGCTCTGCTTGGCTTTTGGCAGTTCTCACTTTTTCTCCCCATTTTCTGATTTCAAAGGGACAAGGAATATCTGGGGCAAATATGAGGGTAATGATTGGAAACCAACTGGCCTGAAAGACTATTGTGAATAAGTCACATTGTATCTTGTGAGCAGCTTGGAACAAAAATCCAAGAGGTATAGGCCAAGATTTTCAGAAGTGATCAGTGGATGCCCAACCTCAGATACCTTAAAAGGGGTCTGATTTTTCAGAGGGCAGCTGCTCAGTACTTTCTGAAAATCAAATCCCTTAAACTCATTTATGCAAACTTTTCTGACATGAATTTAACAGGTTAATCGTACTTGTTGCATCTTTCTGTTATGAATGGGTGTCTAAATATAGCAGTTCTGAGTCATTTCCTTTAGCAAAGCCTTAATTCCTTGAATTTAACAGGTTTAATGTCACTTTTAAATCCATCACTTATTACTAAATGTAGATGAAAGTTTGCAAATATTTGGCTAGAATGTTAAATCTTTTCTTTCTTTAAAAATTATGATCAATGAAGTCATAGCTAAATTTCTGTGGATGTCAAAATGGCCTTAATGAAAAACAAAAGTCCTAGCCTAGCTCACAAAAAAAAAAAGTTGTAGGCAATAATTTTATTGCTTGTGGATAGCACATATTACACAAATTGATACAGACATGAACACTTCTGAGGTCGACTGTTCCATTGCCTGACTGATTTCACTGTTTGGAATCTGCCCCACCCTCCACTCTTTCCATTATTTAGCTTGACTTTTCATTATACTAGCTGCAGGCCATTTTCCATTATTTTGCTCCTTTTGACCATCCTGTCTACAAAAAACCCCCCACAATTTCAATTGGCGTAATTCTTTTTACCTTCTCTTACCAAGAATGATTGTGTATCTTTGCTGGTGTGGGATGAATACATTAAGATGGTAGGCAAAATATCCTATACAGTGTCTGATCCCACAGTCTTTATTCAAATAAAACTCTTACTGAAGTCAAAATAAATGTTCCCTGAGAAATGACTGAAGGATTGCGTTTGAAATTTGCACAGTGTTTTGAGAACTTTCTAGAAGAACACCATTATTATAATTTTTGACAATCTGGCATGTAAAGCTGAAACTTTAGTGTTATATAGAGAAACTACAGTTGCTTTCATTTGTTTAAAGAGTTTTGTTTTAACATTCCTCTTTGTGCATAAATATGGTATCTGATTCTATGTAACTTTTGAGAACAGTGAGACAGTTATAATTTAAAGCAATTTAAACCAGTATGGTGTAATTTGAAAAAAAAGTGACTAAACTTTATTAATACCCTGCAATTTCTATTGAAATTATTTATATATTATTCCAATAAGCTTATTTGCTCAAAGTAACTAAGCGAACATTTTTTTCTTACCTGCGAAGTCACATAACAGACTATTTTTAAATGGGACAAGAACAATTAACGTAATAAGTTCTAATAATGGGATCTGGTTATTTTTAAAAAGATCATTATAATACAGTGATATGCATCACATCCTATATCCTTTTTGCTTTGTTACTCTCATTCCTTACCTCTTTGTTGGCTCTGTCTGCTTGTACTAATGTTCCATTCAGACACGGTTCTACATAGTGAAGTTCTTCATTATACTGTGGGGGGAGTGGGAAGATGGAAAATTTAATTAAAGACTTTGAAAGATACAATTTATTTTAATGATTTAGCGCTACAGTAAAAAAAGATGCATATAAAGTAAAAACAATAGAATTCAATTCATTTTAAAAAAACTGGGCATGGGATTTTTTTCTTCTTCATATCATTCTTAGTATTTCAAAGGCTGGAATTTTAAAAAGGGAGGACCTACTTGATTGAATGCCAGAATACAGGTAGGTTTAGTGAGGACTGTACATAATTAAGTAAACCATACTATAGCAAAAGATACAAATGTTCTGAGTCTTAGGAAGACTGGCTAATAGGAAAACCTCCCAGGTTGGAATCTGGATAGTATTAAGAATTCAATGCTGATACAGTTCCAGCCTTAATTCCCAATCCTCTGCTTCATTTCGAGCAAACACTGACAAATATTTGAGTCAAGGCATGACACATTTTGGGGGGATGGTATTGTAGGAACTGAGCCAAAGCTCTATGAATTTGAATCCATTCTGGAAATGTTTGAAAGTGATCAATCAGAGATTGGCAGTCTTTGTAAAACTAGCTTCCATCACTTGGGCCCAGAGTTTTAAAAGGTATTAGGTGTTGCTCCACTCACTACTGCAAGGCCTATGTGACTTAGATGGCTACGGTATGGTCTGCACTACAGAGCTAGGTTGACATAAGGCAGCTTATGTCAACCTAGCTGACATAAGAACTCCACCTCTATGTGCGGCGTAGAGTCAAGGTCGATGTAGTTACGTCAACACAGTGACAATCTGTACAAGTGCTCCTGGAGGACATGTACTGCCGATACAAGGAGCAAAGCAGAGACATGCACAAGTGATGTAATTACTGTGGCGGCCGTATGCCAATGTAAGTTAGGTCCACTTAATTTTGTAGTGTAAACGTGGCCTAAGTCCCGTTTTCAAAAGTGAACTAAACATTGAGGACAGAAAGTCCCATTGACTTCCAGTGAGATGTATGTGCCTCAACATTTGAAAATGGGACTTAGATGTCTAATTCACTTAGGCTGAAAGCCTCAAAAGTATTTAGGGTCCTAACCACCACTGATCCGAGCCTTACGCCTTGCAACCCTGAGCAGAGAATGCCAAAATACCTTTTAAAAACTGGGTATTAGTCTCACAGCATGAATGTTACCCTTATTCTTCCTTTTCTGTCTATTCTTCTGCAGAGGTATCAGAAGCCAAAATATGGAGGGGGAGGCCTTTATGCTCCAGTTCTGCTTGGTTTCACCCCTCAACAGATACCAACTGAATCAGTAGAAGAACCATGACAGCCAATGAAAGAGGACAGCAAGTTCAGCCAAAAGTATTCAGAAAAAAAATTTCACATGATTAATGTAAGTACTCACTCCGCCTCTCTCCATCTCAGTGAGAATAAAAAGAGTCTTACAATGATTCATTGCAAAAGTACGGCTAACACAAGGTTCTTCCCACATTACAAGTCCGCATTGTCCATGTCTGGCTGGGACTCTGAATTTATTCTACATTCTCTTCAGCTTCACACTGCTCCTTTTTCTCATATTCTGTCTAACCCTAGACCCCCTGCAGCCTTCTCCTTCTTGGACGTCAGTCATCATCATTCATGTGGACACTGACTGCAGTGCTCTCCAACACTCATTAATTAATTACATGATCATTAGTGCATGGGGCAGGGTATTTAATTTGATCAGTGCCAAACTATTCTGGAGGCATTGTGCCAAATTCTGTTGTCAGTTATACACTAGTATAACTCTCAAGTAACTACACTCACTGACTGCAGTGGCTATAGTCTGCATTCAAACTGAGTAACAGAGTAATTGGATTATTGTATCAATGACATGTGCTATCTGGTCAGTGATTCCCTGTTCTGCAGCTAGTGTGTATACATCCCTCATTATTTTAATGCAGTCAATATCAATCCATTCTGAGGATTCCTATGCACACTGTGACAAAGTTCCTCCTCCGCCTTGGTGGATCCTGCGCTTTCTGGCGGATTTGCTCGCCTGAGAGGTTCACGGCAGTCCTCAGTTTGGCCACTTTTGTTAGTGGCACAAACCTGCCGTTCACTCAGCTAACCTCATCACTGGCCAGCATGGGGGAAAGGGAAAACAATCTCCGCAGTCTCTGTTGTCCCACCTAGTGAGTCAGGGACAGGCCAGATCCCTTTCCAAATTAGACCTTCCCCTCTGGTGTGTCTCACAGACCAGGTCAACT